GGAACTATTGGTTCTGCATTCACGGGAATAATCAAGATAAGTTTACTAGTATTTATCAATGTTTGTGTCAAAAACTAAGGAAATGCAGAGATGAGTGACAAAGCCACAACTCGAATGTATAGCAGAGTATCCTACAGCTCAAGGGAAATAACAAAATATTATAGTGCTACCATTTGCTAAATATTTGCTGTGTTAACTATGTTTCATACATTATGTAATTTAACCAAGTTCAAGCTTCTAAACTGGCCCTTTATTACTATTCTTCCTAAAATGTACTTTATACAGGGCAACCAGAGTCAGCTTCCTAAAACATAAATGATCAGACTCTGATGCCTTAAAGCTTTCAGTAGCTTTCTACTGCTTGCTTGCTTGCTTGCTTTTCACTCTCCAAAAGGGTGTTTATTTGTAAGTCATACTTTATGAAGCTTCTAAAGACCTATCCATCATCTACCTCTCCAATCCCTTTTCATGGCCCCTCCTTTGCCAAATTCTAGTGCCTGTATTTTCCATAATTTATTAGGATAATCCAGTTTTTTTCTATCTCCTTTTCAAGGAACTTTGCATTTTCCTTTTGCCTGAACCACTGGCTCCTTCAATTCCTTCAAGTCAGATTAAATATCACCTTTTAGGGAAGACCTCAATATCCTTCTACCTAAAGCAATTCTTCTTTCCCAGTTACTCATTATCATATCACCCTCTTTTAGTTCCATCATTTCCATAATCTGGAACTATTGGTTTTATTTATCTATTATCTGTTTTCCCTGGTATACACCACAAAAGCAGAAAAGTGTCGCTTGGTGCATATAACAGTGTACATGTTGAATAAATTAAGACCTAAACAAACCTATGTGCTAGCTTTCATTGTCTAGTTTTACTTATGAGGTCTCAGAACTAGGAAGGTTAAGAATCATTCTTAGGGTGATAAAACTAATAAGTGACTGTTGCGATTTGAATGCAGGCGTTCATGTCGGAAATTTACACTAAAATCCAGTGCAATTACTAAAAGAGAGAGGTTCAACATGGTTAGGAGTAGAAGAAAGCCACAGGAGGAGAAAGAATTTTGAAGACTCAGAATTTTAGAAACAAGGTATAAAGGTATTGAGGGTGTTTGTACACTGAGCTTGAACAACGTGTGCAGTAAATTGGTTGGTGGACAGATCATTAGGAGGGGAGAACTGAGAAAGCAGGAAAGACAGGTAAGGAGAATATTATTGGGAGACTTTAGAATAATTTCAGACCAAAGAATTAAACTTAATTTTACAGACTAGGAGGGGACAGAGTAGACTTCTATGCAGGAAAATGGCACAAGTGATATTAATTATGAGCTCAAGATTATAGTAACAGTTACTATATAATCTAGTAAATTTTCTTACTTTATGAATGTGTCATTTCAATAGGTCCCATAATAATCCTGTGAAGTAGCTCTTGTTTCCAGCCTTCTATAGATAAGGCTCTGTTGGTCCAGAGAGCCTGAAAATTGCCTGAGGTTACTAGTAGTGAGCACACCCAGTACTCTGATGTCAGTGTTCATGCTCTGCCGTAGTCTTACCTTAGGTATGAATAACGGTCCTTGCTGCATCTCCTTTAATAGGTAACTGAATGTCACAGAAACTGGTCCAAAGTGGAGTCATACCACATAACTTGTTTTATTGCCCCCAGAGTTGGCTTTTGCACCTAAGCACACCTTTATTTAGCATTTATTAAGCACTGTCTATTGCATTATAACAAGACAGTAAAGATTCTGACCTCACTGGGCCTATAAATTACTGGCAGTTTTATAGTCATTTATTCACCCACAGATTCACTGATATATTCAAAAAATTATCAAGTGATTTTTTTTCCTATGTCCTGAGTCCCATACTTCTTAGAATTAATTATGTTAAATTAGTTGGCAAGTATTTGCAGTAGCACTAAACATGAAAATGTTCTGAAAACAGACAAAAATAAGAACAAAACATATTTGCAGGATGATTTTCACCTGAAATGCAGTTCGAATTCCAGTGCAGATGGAAGTTCCTCCGGAAGCTACTGGAGGTAAGCTTGCCACGAGCTGGTCTCTTTCATTGCTGCCCACTATTTGGATGAGCTCACTTGCAACACTGGCACTACTATCAAAGTGAACCATCCCCGCCCAGGATCCATTTTCAACAATATTGAGCAGAAAAAATTTTCCTGCTTGATTCATTCGATTTAGGCGGTTATCACTCTGAATGAAAAAAGAAAGATAAAGTAAGTTTTGGTGGGAAGGTAATAACAGATCATTGAAATAAGTGAGTAGAATTTATTGATAAGAACTCTCTTTAAATATTAGTTTTATCAATTAAAAAATACTTTTATCAATAATACTAAGAAATATAATTGGGAGCAAGCAGGTGAAGAACTGGTCAAGGTGCTGGACTCCCACATGGCTAGTCAACTGCGTGGTTTGAGTCCCAGATCTAGTGGCTTGAGACTCATGCCAGGCATGTGTGTGTGCATGCCCAAAATCCCAGGTGGAGAATGGAGAAGGGATTGCAGCACGACCATCTCCCCCCGGAGGAGGGGCGTGCGATTTCTCATTTTCCCTATCACTGCCTTTCTATCTTTCCAGCAAGCACACATGCCCTATGGCAAAAACCTTAAAAAGAAAAAAAAAAAGTCCAGTTACGTGTATTACAGCATAGTAAGGAACATAGACTTTTAACTGGAGGTGATTCTCGGCTGCTAAACTAACTCAAATTTGAAGTGGAGGGTAGGGCAGGGATTAAGTTGGAACTGGGGCCGAGGAAAGGGTCATGATTCACATCTGAGAAAGACTACTTACTCCTGAGAGGTCCTGTTCCGTTTCTTAACACCCCAGCACACACAAGTCAAAGTGGACTATCTTGGACTCCAGTCAGAAATTGGAGTCACATCATCTGCTGGGGACTAGACTAACCAAAAGGTGAAACTTACCTGAGCTGCAGCTATCTTCTGAGAGGCCAGTCCTCTCCTGCCCTATCTTCTGTTCTTAACCTTTCCCCACCACTTCTCCACCAAAGGGTCCGTTGGCATTTTCCTTTGGTAACTCATCGAGACTCACATCCCTCATTCCTAGGTGACTGCCCAGGATGTAAGCCTCTTTATACATTTGTCTTCTCTGGCCCCTCACCACCACAGGGATCTGTGGCACCTCCCCTTAACCCATGTCATACTTCCTTCTAAACTCCCTGAGCCAAACCACAATGAGAAACTTCTCCTTCATCCTTACTTTGAAGGGCTCTCTCCACTTTGTTTTACCTTTAAACCTTGCTCTGTCTGCATCCTCTCTGGATGCTAATCTTCTCCCAGTCAGGACCCTCATATCTCCCTAGTGAGAATAGATCACTTGTGTATGCCAGTGTCTAGCCCTTAGCTGTCTTCTCCAAAACATTGCATTATTGTGGCTCATTTAATTCAGCTGTGTCATTCTATGCCCTCGTGAATAACCACCCAGAACCCCATTTGTTGAATTCCTTATTTCAGGTCTTCAGCATACTTTGTTCTGCCTCAAATGTGTCATTCTTCTGGCATTCCATTGTGTCTACTTATTTAAACAATTATTTATTGCTCACCCAGATGTGATAAACTATGTCCTAGGTATTGGGAATACAGAGAAGTAGACATGGTTCCAAGTTCTAGATGATGTTTCAGTCTGGTGGAAGAGAAATGTGTCCTATCAATATAACATATAGTAGTAGAGGTATGCACAAGGCATTGTTAGGAATCAGCGTAGGGGTCTTAGCCATCCTGGGAACTCAGTTTATCCTCAGGAGGAAACGAGTGCCTTTACTAAATTTTGAAGGATGAGTGTGACTTGACCAGGTGAAAGAAAAGAGACAGAAAGTTTTCTCTATTTACTGAGAAATTCTGAATGATACAGACCTACATTCTAGCACAGTACTTGCACATTATTGAACAATACTAGAAAGAATGAATGGCTGAATCTGGCCATATCTTCTTTATGCTGGTGCTTTTGTTTGTGGCTTTGAACATTAAGTGGTCATCTGTGCAGTATTGTAAACAAGAGAAAGCCATGTTAAGAATTCTGTTGGTTGAGTCTATTCCTTGGCCTGGAAGGAGTATAGCATTCCCCCTCCCCATCCCCCTCCCAATCTACTTTATCTTCATGTCTCTCAAGCATTTTCAGCAATTTAGGTGCTAGTTAGAAACCATTTCATATTTCAGTCACTAGTTTTGATGTTCCAAATGCAGTTTTACTTGAACCTATTCATTTTCTGGGGAAAAAGAAAAACAAAGCAAAACAAACAAACAAAAAACATAGCTCCTTGAATTGGGTCTTTGAACTCTAAGGGCACCTTTCTTTTACTATGGTATTTTGTAATACCTCAGTCATTATTAAAAGCAGCAGTGGTACTTTATGCCATCATGCAATTTAGAACAATCCAGGTGCAGGTGGAGCTCAATGTGTTCTCAGTTATTCAGTCACTCACTTGTCTTGTCCCTCCATCTGGAAAAAATGTGCCCAGGAACTTACCGACATGCTTCCAGACTTATCAAGAACTAAGCACACAATTCTTGGACTGATTTTCAGCAATGAGAAAGTAGTTGGAGGGGGTGGTGCCTCTCTAGGAGTGGTGCTTTTAAAATCCTCAGAACTGCTGATCACCTCCCATGTACTTCTATATTCACACTTTATATTTTGTAGACTTGGAGCTTCTCGGTTATGGTTTTTGTCATTACAGAATCTGGAGACCTAAAAAGTTAATAAAATAAAAAATTTAGAGACTATGCATTTAAAAATATAATTATAGACAAAGAATTAAACTGTTCTGCACATATGTTGTTTATTGAAATAAATATGATTCACTAAGAATCAATGTTATAGTAGGGTATATTTACAACAGTAATAATAGTAATTAACTCTATTTCAGTGCTAAGTGCCAGTCAATACTGATAGGACTTTTAAATACTAACGTATTTTTAAAAAACATGGTAATATGTCCTTTGATTTTAAATTCTAAAAGCAATGATTGGTATACTTACAGAGTCAATACTTTGCATAAACATTATGGATGTCTTTTCTGTCTGAACTTTATTAGGGAAAAATTGACAGTCTTTTTCATAGAGTTTTGTTGTAGAATTGGTTCTACATGTTCTATATATACAGCTACCTCCTTGACACGTGTACACTCTGTTCATACCAGAGATACCTGTGGAACACCTAAAAATATATGACAGTTAATATTTGAGGAAATTAATTAAGAATATATTTTAAAAGTCTTAAGTGGTTCTGTTCAAGATGATCTTTGTACCGAGATGTTTCTTCCGTGTGTACTATGCACTTCCTATTCTGATAGCAAAGGTTAAGGGTTTAATCAAAATAATTATGTATTTTTTGATAAGTTACAGAGGGAAATTTAACTGGAGCCTTCAGATTTACACAATGGTTGAGTTCTTTGCTAGAATTAGGTATCTCTCCTGCTGGTTTCATGGTGGTAAATGTGCTAGCAGGTACCTGGATGAGAAAACTGATGACACCATTTATTCATTGCAGCTTGAAGTTCTTTGTATAATAGTTATCTGTTTCTGTTAGAGACAATATTCCCCAATATTCCACATTGCATGACCATGAGGGTTTTGGTTATTCAATGAACATTTTTATCCAAAGGCAGATATGACTAGAAGCAGAGAGTGAGGTACTGCCAAGAAGGGCAATACAAATGTATTTAAGATGTGTGTCTCACTGCATGGAATTTGCCACAGTTGGCAATGATTACAACAGATATGCTGGGATGAGAATACAGGTAATCTTTTCAATAGGTTTCCAGTTCAAATTCAGGAGGTGATGACTAGAGTTGATTCACAAATTTAAGGCATCTTCTAAATATGTCTAAGTTTCTATTGCCCCCAAACTTGATAAACATAATGATGCTATCTGTATCAACAATAATGATTAATATTCAGCAGACATTTAGGGAAAATATGATATAAACAAATCTAATTCATGTAATGCTCTTTAAAATATATGCCTCAAAACTGGTGCAATGGGGACCAGCCGTTAGCATAATGGCTATGTCGCTGGACTCCTATGTAGTTAACTGAAGTTCGAGTCCCAGACCCAGTCTCTCTGTCTCTCTCTGTCTGTCTGGCAAGCACACGTGCCCTATAGCAAAAACAAACAAACAAACAAACAAAAAACCCCAAAAACAAAACAAAACAAAAAAACTGATGCAATGGGGCAGAAGAAAGGTGTTCATTGAAATCATGTATCTTTCAGTTTGCACATTTGTGGAGTGTCCAGCCCCAGCAAGGCATCTAAGATTGACAAGGCTGATAGTGCCCAATCATTCTGCTGTTTTGCTCTCAGAATCAAGAAGTTCAGGTATTATTAACAGTAATGCTAGACTGGCAGTTTAAAATGATCTTTATAAATCTCTCCAAGAAGTTACTCTTTAGCTCTCTGATCATGCTTAATAGCTTATTCAGCAATACTTAATGATTTTGTTCATTTTTGTGCAGTGGGAATAACTTTGATCTTTTCCTACTGTATAGTAATTCCTTTTACATAGTACACAATTTCAGTGCAAATGAGTTCTGGTAGATATGATAGCTGCAAAATATGAGTTCTGGTAGATATGATAGCTGCAAAATATGACAAATTGTTATCTAAATACTTGCCATTGAAGTAAGTACATTTTAAATAGATGCATTTTCTTAAAAAAAAAGTGTATTTTAAAAAGATGCATTTTCTAAAAATATGAAAGCACTGTTTTGTGACACAATGTCTGCATTGGGATAAAAATGAATGATTGTCTTTCGAAAGAAATCAAAGTAAGGAAAATAAGAGTTAAAAGCCTGATGTCAGTGAAGAAAGTTTAAGTTGCCATGCCTTGTTGCTTCAATTTTTTTTGACTTGGCACTGTAGTAAGGCTGATCGTCGTTGTACTCATCAAACACTCCCCAGCGGAGATGGGCCCACTCATGGACAAACAGTCTATCTGTGGGAAAATATTTAAAATACACAGTCATCATTCGAGTGTCAAAATTTGTCCCTGAAATATTTTAAGAAGCTTTTTCTTTCAATTACAACATATATTTTAGACTGATATTTTTCAATAACTAGTAACCAACACTTATACATTTTACTAAAAAAGCATACTGTGTTAAATTAAATTATATTAAGTAATATATTTTTTTATTCTACAACGTATTAAATCAACCAAATATTTATGGTGTTTAAGCTATGTGCAGAATAGACTGGGATTGGAGTTTTGGTGATTGGGAGGGAAAACGTCTGAGATGTACTAGTGGTTTATGGATCTCCAAAATTCAACCCTACTAATAGCATAACCAGTAAATAATATGTCTGTTGTATTAAAATTTCATGTGGATGCAATTAGGGGAAAAATGCCTAAAAATTCTCCTTAGAGGTTTGATAATGAAAAAAAAGATCGAGAAACACTGTAACAAGCCATGTATTATTTTAAGGATTTTGAAATGAAGTGGTACTTAGCACTTACAAGCACTAATTATATAAAATCATTATTATAAATTATATTTGGTGCAATACTAGCTATTAGGAAATATAAACATTTACAATCTGCAGTTTGTGACTTGGAGAATTTAAGAGAGTTCAAATTAAATCAGTTTTTTGGGGGGAGGTAAGAATTTCAGGGTAAATGGAAGAATAGAGGTAAATCTCCTTGAGATGAAGAAACAAGAAACAAGCAGAACTTCCGTTTTAGCAATGTTGAGAAAATCTTCAGGGGAAGTAGAAAATGGAACAAGTGAGATTGGAAAGTCTATTTGGCTGCAGTGTGTTTCTGCAGTTCCAACGACCTCCCATGGGGTCTGAAAATAAGAGAGTATCAATATTATGAAAGAGTCCTGTTTCTTCTTGCTACTCAGAATGCGATTGTAGAACCAGCAGCATCAACCTCACCTTGTTGAGGACCTTGTTAAGAAAGTGTAACCGGAGGCCCACCTAAACCACTGACTCAGAATCTGTACATTAATAAGATCCCTAAGTTATTCCTCTGTGCACTACACTTGTTAAATATTGGTTAAAGGTTTCTGAGGCAAATGAAGCCAGAATAGTAGGAGGTAATAATCTTTACTTATTTGTTTTTTTAAAGACATTTTTGTCTTAGGGTGCACATGCTTGCCAGAGAAAGAGACAGACACAGTGAGAGGGAACGTGAGAAATCATCCCCCAGGGAGGATGGCCATGTCACAGTCCCTTTTCCTCCATTCTCCTCATGGGATCTTGGGCACGTACGCACATGCGCCTGCTGTGATTTTGAAGTCACTGGCTTCCAGACTTGAATCACTATTGGCCATGTGGGAGTCCAGTGATGTAACCACTATGCAATCTGCTGGTCCTGGGAGGTAATAATCTTTAGTACAGAAGGGTAAAGTCTCTATATCAGCTATTGTAGTAGGAGTTTGGTAATTATTTTTAATTACCAGAGGGTGCATGCACTCTCTAGAGAGAGAGAGAGAATGAGAAATGGGGCATTGCCATATCACAATCTTTTTTCTTCCATTTCTCTATTCTGTAGGATTTGGGGCATGCATACACACATGAGAGCCCAACATGGTTTTCAAGCCACCAGAACTAGGAATTGAGCTGTAGTTAGCCATGTGGGATCTGACTCCTTTAACCACTAGGCCACAGGACATGCCTACAGTTTGTTAAATTTTAAGAAAAGTTAAAAGTTGTGGCACCTCTGAGTCTCTAAAGAAAGGTCCACTTTCAGACTTAACTTCCTCCTCAGGTTGTTCTGTCTCCCATGCCCACTTAAAAAGCAACTCCCCTAGTAAGTAGCATAGTGGTTAAGGTGCAGGAGTCACGTGGCCTATCATGGTTTGAGTTCTGAAACTGGTAGCTTTAAACTCATGCCAGGAGCATGTGCGTGCATGCATGCCCAGAATCTTGAGAGGATAATGAAAAAGGGATTGTGGCATGGCCATACCCTCCCGGAGCAGGGTGGGATTTCTCGCTTTCTCACTTTTTGTGTCTCTGTCTCCCCAGAGAGGCACACACCCTAATAGCAAAAAAAAAAAAAAAAAAAAAAAAAAAAAAAAACTCTCTAAAAAAATAAGAAGAAGCACGCATAGCTCCTCTGACTTAGAATTCCATTCCCATCTATATCATTGTCTCATTTCAGGCTAACTTCATTCTCTCTCTCTCTCTTTTTTTTTGGCTGAGTACAGTTCAGGCTAACCTCATTCTCATTTTTTTTTTTTTTTTGGCTGAGTACAAGTGCATGAGAAAGAGACAGAGACAGAGACAGAGGAAAGAAGGAAGGAAGGAAGGAAGGAGGAATAGAGAGAAACAGGAGAAAGAATTCCCAAACAGTGCCTGGCCATGTTGCAATCCTTTTTTCCTTAATTTCTCCATCCTGTTTGGGTTCTAGGTATGCATGCACATGCATACACATTTGTCAACATGTTTCTCAAGCTGATGGAGCTGGAATTTACACCACATTTAGCCATGTGGGATCTGACTCCCCAGGGAGAATGCTTAACCACAGTGCGATAAGACCAACTGTCTATGCTCATTTCTAATAGCTTTTCCACTGTGCGTGTGTGTGTGCATGTGTGTGTGTGTGTACTTTTAAAACCTGCTGTGATGGCCTCCATCCATACTGGGTTGCTGCCTACATAGCCCAAATGATTCTTCTAGGTACCTAATGTTACTGTTGTTGCTATCATTATTACTACAAAATTGCATAGATTTTGAGGGTCTTCTTCCTAATCTTATTTTTTCAAAAACCTTATTGTTTTTAGAAAACATATTGAAGAATTTGAGTTTTACACACACACACACACACACACACACACACACACATATATATATACACATATATATATATATATATATATATAATTATGGAAGAAACAGTTGACTAAGAGGAAAATTAAACTGTCAGTAATAGAACAGGTATATAGGATGAGATATAGGAAAAATCAAGAGCTCAGATGGGGGAAAGTAGCCTTAAAAAGTGAAGAAAATACTCATATTCTTTTTTCTTTTGGAGAGGTTTTCGCTGTAGGGTGCATGCGCTCACCAGACAGACAGAGGTAGAAAGACAGAAAGCGAGAAATCACCCCCCGGGGGAGATGGCCACACCGCAATCCCTTCTCCTCCATTGTCCTCTCGGGATCTTGGGCATGCATGCACACGTGCCTGGTGTGAGTTTTAAGGCACTGGGTCCAGGATGCGAACCGCGGTCGACTATGTGGGAGTCCAGCGACATAGCCGTTACGCTAACTGCTGGTCCCCAGAAAATACTCATATTCTTAAGCAGGTGGAGGTAGGGGAGGTAAGGTAGACATGAGTTTTGAAGTAAATGGGTGAAAGGTAGAAACCTCTATTTTCCTTAGTTAGCATATCTACTTATTGAAGAAACTGAGAAGAGTAACTGGAGATCTCAAGGTAAATGGTAGAAGTTTTAAAACAACTACTGTGGGAAATGAGAAAGAGCTAAGGAGAATCAAGCAAAAATACTTTTGAGTAGTTATGAGAACTTGGGAAACATATTTTGTAATGATGCCAATTAGTTTTGCAATTTCCTTCAGCAATCTTGGAAACAAACAATAGGAGGCAAAAATAAACTGGCTGGATAATTCAGTACTGGGGAATTAGTTGAATGAAACCTAAGGGTAAGAAGGCGAAGGCATGAGGGTAGTTATCCTTGTATTTGAAACAAGACTTTTCTGAACATGTCAGGTATGAAATTAAGCTAGGAGGACACAAAAGGATTAGAGGAGCCAAGGAAAACAAACTTGGTCAGGATAACAAATGAGGGAGAAGAAAGATTAGGTTTGGTGGAGATGATGGCATTTCCAAGGTTGGAGTCAACAGATCCAGGTAATGATGAGAACCAGGGCTAGCTGAGTGTGACAGAGACAAGACTAAATGAGTGCTTGGTAAACAAGCAACAGAAGAGGGAGAGGCAATTCTGTGGTAAGAGGCTTAATAAAAATGTTTTACTAAATAATGATGTGTAAGTTGGACCCTCCTTGAAGTGTGATTTGCATTTTTATCTGTACACTAATGTGCTTTAGTTTGTTTGGACAAATAAACTCAACATTTTCATTGAACTAAATGAAATTGCCAACTTCATAGGTCAAGGCGATCAATTATAGGCAATTTTATTTGGTTTAGCACAATAGATTGAATAACAATATCAGCAACTAACAACCTTTGAGTGTTTTCTCTTGATCATAACTGGCCTCATGGCTCTTTCCAGCTTGCTATGCATCTGGCTTCCAGGGAGCAGCATGTAATTTATTAATATCCAGCTGTAAATTTTCTTAAAGCAAATTTTAAAAAGTATTTCTTAAGAAAAACATTTATTATTATAGCTCTCTGTTCAAATTTCTGTAGACACTATGGACATTCTACTGAATACATTTATATGGATTTTCTAGATCAATATCTAAGAATTTCTGCAAGGTGGAAATTCTCTATTCACCACTTTATAAACAGAGAGAAGGCAGATCACTGTTTAAGGTGACACACAGCTAGTAATTATGGGAGCCAAGAACTGAAGCTGGGGATTCTGGCTCTAAGGCCTGCACATTTGACCTGGGTACAGAGCTGCTTGTTGCAAAATTAGATGCTTTAACCAAATTTCTTACCTGATGGTCCATACTCATTTTGTTTCTTTCCCAGTACAAAGTCAGGGGTGAAATGAATGTATTCTCCTTTTTCCGCACAGGCTGTGAACTGCTTGGTGTATGGTTCATCTCTACCTGGGAGGGTAGGCAGTGCAACTCTAACATCAGCCTGAAAATAATTAAAATGTTTTGAAAATATCAGAAGTAAAAATGGTAACAGTCTGAAATATTCATTTTAGGCAAAAATTGGAGATCAACAGAAAATATGAGTTTTACAAGAAGCATTTTTAAGTCTTACATGTAGGTAGCTTTCAAGTTTTGGCCTCTTGTATCGAGGATTTCCCTTCCAATTCTCAGGAATTAATATAGACACATTTTTGAAAAAAAATCTTTTTTCTGTGGCTTCAAACAGGTAAGTGGAAGCTGCTGTCACCATGTCCTGTTAGTAAAGGAAAAAACAAATGAGGATGGTCAAGTGAGCATGGACCATGAGCAGGGCTTATACAGGCACTTCCCACCTTTAGTTGTTAAGACACAAGCCACTGGCTGATGAGCAGGGTCTGTGTCTCACAATTCCCACTCTGCCACCTGTAAGTACAAAACTGTTGTTTAATCCTGTGCTTTGAAAGCCTTCTCAGTCTTCTATAATCCTTTATCAAAAGGCTAATGCTTGTGTTTTATGTTAATTTTTTTTTCTTGAGAGGTTTTTGCCTTAGGTTGCATGCACTCACCAGAGAGACAGAGACAGTAAGAGGAAAAGTGAGAAATCACCCCCTGGGGGGATGGCCATGTTGCAATCCCTTCTCCATTCTCTTCCTGGATCTTGGGCATGCACACATATGCATGGGTGTGATTTTCAAGTCATGAGGTTTAGGACTCAAACCACGGTCAGCCATGTGGGAATCTAGTGGCATAATCACTCTGCCATCTGCTAGCCTCTAGTGTTAATTTTTAATATGAGTATATACATGCATATTGGAATCATCTACTTTGTTCTAATAATGGTGTTAGCCTTTTCTTGGTGATAGATATTGGTTCATTTATGTAACTCTCTGAAGCTCAGTTTCCTCATCTCTCTCTTTGCTATAGGGCACATGCACTCAATGGAGAGACAGAGAGACAGAAAGCAAGAAATCACCCCCCAGGGCAGCTGACCATACCACAATTCCTCCGTTCTCCTTTTGGGATTTTGTGCACTGATGCATATGCACGTGACATGAATTTTAAGACACTGGGTTTGGGACTCGAACTTCAGTCGACTACGTGGGAGTCCAGCAATGTAAGCATTACGCCATCTGCTGATCGCAGTTCCCTTGTCTCTTAAATGGACAGACCATTGCTATCTATTTTTATGGTTGTTATAAAGGTGCAATGAGTTATAATGTACTCTACACATAGGCAGTCATAAAACGGACAATACTCCTATTTATAAGAAGTCTCAGTAGAGGAAAGCCTTTAGCTGATACAAACTGAGCAGGTAGCTGGTAGGAATGTTTCAGCTGAGAGATTTTTTATAAGCCACTTCACTCCTCAGGTGAGGCAATACATTCAGGAGTATTGGGATTTGGGTAACAGCAAAATTCATAGGTGAGGCAAAATTTTGATCTTAGAGTTTATTCTACCATTAAGCTGATAATAATACTTTGTGTAATTGTATATTCAATATCATGAAACCAAAGATATCAATACAATGATTAATAAGATATAAGTAGTCCTTTCTCATAGCCTATGATCTAGTGAGGGAAACAGATGGATGAAAGACACTTACGGTTATCTAGTCTACAATATATGATGAAGCATACTGACTGGCTGAGGAATCCTGTGTCCTGGATGACAATCCCAACCTTATTACTGGAAGCATATTGTTCTACAGAGGTTTTTCTTCAAGGCAGGTTATTCTCTGCCATAGTACTTCTTGATCTAATGCAAGCCCACAGTAGAATTGTTCTTCAGAAACCCCAGGGCCTTCTTCCTTGTGCTTGTTAAGAGGGCCCAGTGTGCTGACCTCATGTGTTCTGCTCATGTGTTCTACATGAGGTCAGCACACTAAATGGGTTCAGAGCTGTGGGATCCATCAGAAGGCCAGAGTTCAGAGAACTGAAGGTGGATTGTATTGAGTTATGGGTTGAACAAGTCAGGTTGCTCAATGGAATAATAATCATCCATAAAAAAACAACAAAACCCTGGCTTTTGAAAGGAAGTGGATGAATATGGAAGACTTACTGCTGAGTGAAGCAAGCCATGCTATGAAGGAGAGGCATTGTATGTCCCCACTTAATATATACCAAGTGTCTGCACCATACTGAAACCATACTGCTTCTGTTGTTATAGAGTCATAAAATTATACAAAATTATAAGACATATTTTGAACATTATCTTTAAAATTCAGTATTTTGAAATTTTGAAAGTTGTTTGTAAACTATCAAGAATTATGGATTATGAGCTAAAATTTTTTGCTATGTAAAGTAAATGTGGAAAAATGTAAAAATAAATGAAAGAAAAAAAAGAATTCTTATAATATCCTAGTTGAATTGAAAAGATGGAAATATCAATTCATAATTCAAACCAAAGAGAAATGTAAACAAAAAAATTGAAAATTGAACATCTCAGGTCATGAATTATGAGTCAGTTTAGCGTCAATCTTATTATAGTTACATAGTAACTCTAGAAGTAAGGTTAAGTCCACAAATTGGTTCACTAGCTTTTTCATGAGAGTGATTTCTTTTTTTTTTTGGTTATCTTATTCAAGCCAGGATTCAAACATAGGGCTATCAGTCTCCCAATATTTATGCATTGAACCTTACCTTTGACTATTCTAAGTGATGCTGGCAAAATCATTTAACTTTTCTTACCTCCAGTTTTCTGTTCTCTATAGTATGGATGGTAGTATTTCACAAGGTTGTCTGATGAGATAATTGCAAGAACTTTGTAGAAGGCTAAGAAGAATGCTGGGAAACTTTGTGTTATCTAGGCATGCCCACTAACAAATTTCTGTTTGTAGTTCCCCTCCTCTACAAATAGTTCTTTCAATTACTGATTTCCTTGCTTAGAAGGATTAGAAACTGATTAGCTATCCCCGGGCAGTAAAAATATATCATTCAAAATTAGCTATATTAACTGCACTTAAAATTCATTTTCTATATTAAAAGCAATATTTAACCCTCTCCTGGAATTCAAAAGATACCAAAAAGCAAACACCTCTATGATGCCACAGAGTTGCCATAGGAGTGACAAATGGCAGCCACAGAATCACCTGGTCACGACTCCAGTCAGGCTCATCACCCTCAGAGGGGTAACAGCACTATGCCTGAACTGGAGCAGCGAGCATCAGGACCCATGTGGAGGAACTGAACATAGGGAGTTAGTAGGTGTCGGCATTGGAGAGAGGGAAAACAATTTGCGTGGCTGTAACACCACTCTGTATTACAGGAATGTTTTACTTGGCAGAAACTTGAGCAATCAGACTCCTTGGTTAAGTCCCGGAGACTGCCTTCTCTGCCTGCCCTTTCTCCATAAACGCATGACTGTAAATTCCAGCCATGTACTGATGACTCTCAAATGTTTATCTCCACCCAAATTTTCACTCCGATTTAGATTCCTGTTTCTATCTACTCGGATGTCTAAAATGTGTTAGTATCGCCTAAACCTTCTAGCCACCAAATATTCTCCACTCCTCAACTGATAGCAATTCCATCCTTCCAAGTGTTCAGACCAAAACCCTTAAAGTCATTGTTGACTCCAGGGCTTCCTTCCTGCTTTTCTCTGTCCCACATGTTCCTAAAGCTTCAGGAAATGTTGCCTGTGATCCCTGAAAGTATGTTCAGACGCTCACACTTCAGCACTTCTACCGCAGCTCACCTCTGGGTTTCCCACCAGGTGTTCCTCTACACCTGTATGTTGCCACAGGGTTTATAATGGATGAGTGACAGGGAAACTACACACTGTCCTAATGCTGCAGTCAGTGATCCCAGAACATGCACAAGAGCATGCCTGTCCTTCACTCAGAATCTTCCATGGGTTCTCATCTCCCTCACGGTAAAAGCCACAGTCTTTCCAGGAGTCTGGGCCTTGCTACTCCAACCTCAGCTGGCCCCACTTTCTTCACGTTCATTGGTGATTATTTCCTTGGTCACATCAAGCATGCTCTCCCCTTGCTGTTTCCAACTTCCAGGTTTCCAGTGAGCTATTTCCTTCCGTATCTTGGGTGTCTGCTCAGATGTCACCTCATCAGTGAAGCCTTCTCTGACTACACCACATGAAATGCTAACCCACATTCCTTTTTTTTTTTTTTTTTCTAATCCTTCCCTGCCCAAAATTCTGTTTCCCCATTTCTGGTTTACTCAGTAGCAATCTATTACCATTTAATTTGCTATTCTTTCATGTGCTTTTATTACCTATATCATTGAAAAAGAATATATTTTGCATGAATGCAGGGGTTTTTTTCCCCCTCACTTGTTTCTCTCTAGATATGTCTCTCTAGGCATGCCTTAAGTTTTAAATAAATAGTTGTTTAAAGAGCAGAGGAGCCCATAACTGCTAATTTACACATGAAGATACTGAGGATCAGTTAACCCCCCATGCATTGCTTTGACTTTGTGGTGAAACAAGGTAGAGCTCTATCTAGAACCCTGTCTCCCACTGCCCATTCCAGCATTGTCCTCACTGCACCATGCTGCTTTAAAATTTCCTGAATTTTCTGAAACAGCCACAATAACCACTCATTTTAAACATTTTTCCCCATAATTGAAATGGGGAAAAAAAATCTCATTTTTTTCTTACCATTAGTTGGTCAATTATTTTGTCATCTTCTGGCACACCAGGATCTATAGCAATGATAATGCCTTCATAGCCATTGTCATTCAGCTCGATGAAGGAAGCTTTTGACCCCTGCAGCAGGTACAGGACCAAGAAAAGAATAAAACCTCTGAAACCCCCCATTGTGCCTTTGTGGTTGTTCACCGCCCAAGTGTCCGTTTGTTCAAGAGGCTTTCTTTCCACTACCTGCTTCTCTCTATATATGTACTCACAAGTATTATCAGCAGCAGCTGATTACAGGATATTTACTGTTTAAAGGTCAATGTTACATAAGTGGGAAATAACTGGTCTCAGTTTACATAACTTTTACTGTATGTTAATATAAAAGTAATAGAAAATATAATAGAAAAAGATCTTTTTATTAAGGTACATTGTAGATCGACTGCATGAAAGGGGAATCCTGGACACAGCAAGGGAACATGCTAGGCTTATCATGACTTTCAGTCACCATGTGTTGTTGTAGCATCAGCATATTCTATTGCTCAGAAGGCAGGAATGGTGGTCAGACATCTTACAGCTGAAGGAGACCTGGATATCGTGGAGAAGACCAGTGCAACAGACCTGTAGACCAAAGCTGACGATAGACTGGTGCAGATGAGCATGTGCTCCTCACTGGCTCAGAAGTTCCCTAAACTAACAATCATGAGAGAAGAGGATCTGCCTACTGAGGAAGTAGATCAAAAGCTGAGTGAAGATAGGCAATGGGAGGAAATACCAAAGCAGCTAGTCCATTGCATACAGCACTATTAAAGACCTTGTGGTCTGGGTTGGGCCTCTGGATGGTACCAAGGAAATATACAGAAGGTCTTCTTGACAGTGTTAACAGTTCTTATTGGAATTGCTTATAAAGGAAAGGCCATAGCAGGAATTATTGGCCAGCCATATTACGACTACCAGGCAGGACCAGATGCTGTGTTGGGGAAGACAATCTGGGGAGTTTTAGGTTTAGGTGCCTTTGGGTTTCAGCTGAAAGAAGTCCATGCTGGGAAATACATTCACAACTACCAGATCTCATAGCAACAAACTGGTTACTGACTGTGTTGCTCTGAACCCTGACCATTAACTACTAGTGGAAGAACAGGAAATAAGTTTATTGAAGACAAAGCCTCTGCTTATGTATTTGCAAGTCCTGGATGTAAAAAGTGGGAACTTGTGCTCCAGAGGTTATTTTACATGTTGTTAGAGGCAAAGTAACTGATATACATGGAAATGTCCGTCAGTACAACCAGGAAGTGAATTACATGTACTTTACAGAAGTCCTGGCCACACGGAGGAATTACAACCACTATGCAAACCAAGTTCCAGAATCTGTTAAAAACACACTTGTTCCTAAAAAGGTTTAATTTACATAGCTAGAAAAAGGACTTGGTTTTCAAAATCATATATTTTAAAACTAATTGGGTGGAATCAGAACTCTGCCTGTATTCATTGTTGATTAGTGATTTCTATTTAGTTACTAAGGAGTAGAAAGTAGAATTTAAAAATTTAGCTCACTTAATCAGTATGATGTGGAGAATTTATAAACTCAATATGTTATATTTATTTTCCTTTTTTTATGTGAAGAAATGTAAGAAGATTTAGTTCCAACTGATAATCCAGGTCAATTGTTTAATCAACATTCCCATCTTGCAAACTAGGTTTCTCTAGGTCATAGAACCGTAAATTAATCTTGGAATCTCATACTTGTTTTTCATGATAATTTTTAAAGCGTTCCTACCCCAATTAGGAATAT